TAATTATTGTATAATTAAACAGTTATACCTATCGAATCTACTATTATTATCCGTTACCTACTTTTCGTCATTTGCCATTCATTATTTATTAACCATTATCCGTTACCTGTTTTTCGCTACTCACTATCCGTTATTTATTAAATTTTAACCGTTATATCAAACAATTATTAGGTTGTCATCACTAGTGCAACTAACACCAGCAGTTGTGCAAATTAAAGAATTTTACTTTTTATTATCCAATTTAAAATTATATAAAAAAAAACGAGGATCAATATCAAGAATTTAATCTCTTCTCTTTTTGAATTTATTTATTTATTACAAAAAAATATTTTTAAATCAACTTGCAACAAATATCATTAATAAATTATCATGCAATTCAACTTAAAAATTCACATATTTTATTTTTTTTTGGTAAATATAATAAATTATACAATAAAAAATAACTCTCTCCTTCACATTCTCTAGTTACAATTAGGAAACACATTGTATGACAAAACTTGGAAAGAAATTGCAGAGAAGTAGAGAACATATTAGAAAGGATTTAATTTGGAAATTGCAGGTTAGAGTTTGAAGAGAAGTCGTACTAAATTATCAGCGTCAACGTCCAGCGTTCTTTATCTCCAACAGAAAAGGGTAGTCTGTTCTCAGATTGCAAGTCTCTCAATGTAGGGACGAAGAAATTGTCAAGGAAGTTTTGCCAGCGTTTCTTTTTGTCTTTTAGGAAAAACACATTAATATTTTCATCGCTGTAGTGAAGAAGAGCTAGAACTTAGAAGGCCTTAAATATCACCTATTTCCTTTTAATTCCTTTAATACACCGTAAAATATAAATTATTCTCACAACCACACTCGACAACATAACTTTAAGGTTGTAATAAAATTATATATATATAAAAAAAAGAGAGGATTGAATTGGTCCAAATTATAAACTAATACACCATTTCAATTATCAAATCAAACTAATTTGAATAATATTTTGTATGTCTTTCTTTCGGTTTTTTCTTTGTTACTATTTCTTTAAACCTTAATAGTGGGGTGGAGTCCTATCATTCGTTTATGTTCACAAAATATATAAAAATAAAAATAAAAAACCTATTTGCGTGTGCACGCTGAATTTACATGGTTCTGCTTTGTGGACAACCAACGCCTCCTGGCCCATGCTCTTTCATTATTAATTTCTTCCTCCCACAAACAGAGTTTTGCAGCTCCAGAAAATGGACCGACGCCTCCAGGAAATCGTTCTGAGGTGGGACACCCACAGTTTTCTCAAACTAGCTCAAGAACAACAACACATAATCAAAGAAACCGCGACTGGATCCCTAAATACAATCCTACACTTAGCTGCAAGTTTCGGACATGTAGAATTGGTGGCGGAGATCGTCAAGTTGTGGCCAGAGATGGTGGGAGAGGAGAACGAGAGGATGGAGAAGCCATTGCCCGAGGCGTGTAGAGAAGGAGGGAGGATGGAGATTGTTAGGCTGCTTGTGGAGACGGATCCTTGGCTTGTCAACAAGGTGAACCGAGATGAGGAGAGTGCCCTTTTGTTGGCGTGTGAGCCGGGGAGGGCGGACGTGGTTAAGCATCTTCTATTTTATTATCCATGGATGTTGATGTTGGAGGTGGATGCCTTGACTACTTCCCTCCATGTCACAGCTTCATCTGGGTATACAGGTACCTAGCTAGCTCAATTTACACTTATTCTAAAACTTTTACCATAAAATGCTACGTAACTCCATTTAATTTAGTTATTTGGTAACAATTGATACTATCAATTAATATCTTATTATTGATATAATTCAAACATTATTAATTCTTAAAATCGTAATTTGGTTTCTAGTGGTTCGCCTTAAATTTTTAAGTGCTTGGATTTGTTAATCAAAATTTTGAATTCCACCGATATTTTGAAAATCTTAATTTTTTTTCAAAAAATTATATACTGTTAAAAAAAATTATTAATTATTAAATATATATTTATTACTATTTATAGGTTGTTCTAATAAGCAAACAATTAATAATTAAGTAATTTTGTTTTTAAACTGCCCATGAGAGGGGAAGAATGCATCTCTCTTAAACTGGCAGGTTAACAGTTGACCAGTCAAGTACAATTAACTGAATTAAGTAAATTTTTTTAACCAAAATAATTATAGTTTAATTAATAATGAGATTTTTTTTTTATTTTATTAATTAATATTTAATTTATAAAGAAGTAGAATAAAAAGGTAATTAACTTCTCATGAATTTTTAATTCAACTTTAATGAATTAATCTCGAAATAACAACAATTTGTTTAAAAAAAAAATCTTAAAATTCTCAAACTTTGGGTACTTAAAAAATTAAGTTTGGGGATTTTGTTTCTTCGGTTTAAAATGATCATTTAATTGCTAATATTTCATCCAACCAAATTCATTATGTGCCTATATAGAAGTGGTAAAGGAGCTGCCGCAGCTACGGCGGACGGCCACAGCTGCACGCTTTGCACATCGCTTGCAGCGAAGGCCACCTAGAGATCACAAGAGAGCTGCTCCGCCTGGATACCGACCTCTCCTCCTTACACGACAATGTCGGCCGCACGCCGCTCCACTGTGCGGCCATCAAAGGGCGAGTCAATATTCTCGACGAGATGCTCTCCGTTCACCTCGAGCCCGCCGAGATGATCACTCAGCGTGGATAGACGGTTCTGCACCTTGCCGTTAAAAATAATCAATAAGAAGCGGTTCGCTATCTTGTGGACGCCATTAACACATCTAAACTGGTGAATTTGCTAGATCATGACGGCAACACCGTCTTACATTTGGTGACTGCCGGAAAACTCAGCACGGTAAGACAATGATTAAATCGTACTAGTCTTTTCTAGCAAAAATTCCACTTTTAGCCTTCACATTTTTTTTCTTCTCAATTAAGCCATTACTCACTTGTGCACATATATAGTTCAGTTCTTTTATTTTATTGCTCCAAAATATATTTTATCATCTTTACCTTTACGTACTTGATTAAATATAAGTGAGATTACACCTGCTTTTCGGGTCAACTGGCATCTTACCAGCTTGAGGTGCATAAACTCTTAATAAATTGTTTAAAAAAATATAAGTGAGATTGATCGAAACTATAATTTTATGGTAACAAAACTTTATTAAATTATGGTTAAAATAATAATGATAATGATAATAATAAAAAATAAAATAATTAATTTACAACAATACCAATTCAAAATTTTAAGAGAATGAAGATATTTAACCTCATATTACCAAATAAGGAGCCACGATGTAACTTCCCTAATTTTATTGTTTTAATTGTACTTGTGAGTTTAGTGCTAGCTTAACTAAAGTTGTTTATATAAATTTATTTACTAAAGAACCTTATTTTAAAATATATTTTGATCAATCCAAATAATGTTTAATTTATTATATATAAATTAAAAGAATTTATTATATATAACGAATAAAAATACAATTTAAAGTATAAAATAATTTAATTGGATTAGTTGGGTAAAAGATTTGGATACTCATATTACTAAAAAAAAAAAAAAGGATAGACAATAATTGAATTGGGCGTATATGATGTTAAGGCTTTAATTGGCCAAAATTAGTAGAGTGACTTAATTAAAGAAAAAAGAGAAGTTTCAGGGCTAAAGGAAAGATTTTCTCTTGAAAATTCTGGTTTTTCTCTAACATAGTGACGCCGTCGTTCTTCTCTTCATCTTTCTGATCTTCAGATGGTCGTCAATCTTCTCAGCCTAGGAGTGGATATAAATGCACTAAACTGGAAAGGGTATACTGCTCTAGACGTTATTGAGGCGGGCGCAGGCAATTCTGGTTCTCTGGTATAGTTCCGGCGTTGATAGAAGCAGGGGCGAAGAGATGCGACCAGCTGCCGCCAGGTTCATCATCGGCAATTCAACGAATTCAGGAAAACAGCCCCAACGTTACTAGTCCAATTTCATGGCCCAAAAGGGCGCCCGACACTCCGACCAAGAACCGAGGCGGCCGCCGCCACCGTCGCCGCCGAGAAAAGCAGATCGATATTCAAATCGAAGATTTACGGAACGCGCGCAACGCGATCACCGTCGCGGCAGTTCTAATCGCTACGGTTGCCTTCGCCGCCGGAATTAACCCTCTGGGAGGGTTTGACCAGATTTCCGGAAAAAGCATCGTGGGTCGAGAAACCTCTTTTAAAGTCTTCATCGTCTGCAACATCTTGGCTCTGTTCTTATCCCTTGGAATGGTTATTTTCCTCCTCAGCATCATCCCTTTCCGGCGAAAACCCAGGATGAAATTACTGTCAGTCACGCATGAGGTAATGTGGGTGTCAACTTCGTCCATTGCGGCAGCTTATATTGCCGCTACATGGACAGTTCTGCCAAGTGGGCGCGGTTCTGAGTGGATACTGGTGGCGGTGGTGTCCATCGGAGGCGGCTGCACGGTGTCCATATTCATGGGTTGGGGGTGTTATTGGCGAGGAATTTGCTGAGGAAATGGGAATGGAGAAAAAGGACCACAAAGGATGGCAGCCCAAGAAGTAACATCAGTCGTGTTGAAGAGACGCAGGTGATGAGAAGAGGCACCCGGGACTCCACCAGTAACTCCGATACTGACAGCTCCGATCAAGGTTACCACCCATTCTAGCACATTCATAGGTAATGAATTACAGCCTGTGTTAATTATTCTAGTATAGATTGTTGGATCAAATGCAGAGGGACATTAGGCATCCTAGGAGTGCTACTGTAATAGAAAACATAGTACATATGCAGAAAAGCTTTGAAAATTTTCTAAATTGCTTAAGTTTATGCAAGAACACCAACTCGTTCAATCTCATACATCTAAGCAGTTTTTATGATTCTCTGATTTTTCCAACTTCCTCTCTTCCCCTGTAAACCACTGAACTGTTCGGCGAACCATTGGAAACCAAAGTGTCCTAATCCTCTCCTCATTTTCGCTGTTACTAGTAGGTGGAGTTCTGTTTCTTGAACTGAATTGACTGAATCTTGAAAAGGCAGTAATCTCAGACACTGATCTTTTCTCAGCTGGGTTGATGCCTTTTGATGTATTAGGTTCGTTGTTTGAAGCAGAAGAAAAGGCTGAACTTGAAGCTGAATTGTTTCTCTCCATTCTGCTGAACTTTGATTGGAATGTTCTCTTCCTTTCTATATCCTCTTTGATCTTTTCAATCTGTTCACCATGGAATCTTCCACTGCTTGACCTCATTGAAGAGAATCTGTTGCTGGACATAACACTAAGCATCTCGGAGCTCAAGGACAACAGATCTGAAGGGTTCAAATCACTCCATCTGTTCTTTATTACAACATCTGAGACAACGATCTTGTGCTTGAACTTATGCAAGAATTTCCCGTCATCATCTTGAATTAATATCTCTTTGTTTTCTTCAATTTTTCGAAAGCTGCTTCCTATGTTAAACCTTGATGAATGTGATCCTGGATAGTCCTGCTCCCTTCGTACAAACAGCTCCACATTTGGATCTTCTGATAAATTTGAAGGGTTCTCCAGGAATCTCAAGCTGTTTGAATAAGCAAAATTCTTCAGGTCTCTGGAATCGAGCCTGTTCCTGCACAGAGGGCAGCTGGAGTGACTTTCAAGCCACTGGTCTATGCAGTTCATGTGGAATGCATGCTTGCAACTAGGCAGAAGTCGAAGAACATCTTCATCATCAAATTTTGATAAGCAAACTGCACACTCCAGGCCTTCTTTTGATCCCTTGAGTGAAGAGAACTTGAAAAAGGGGAGCGATTCAATAGCTGTTCTGTCAATCCCGGAAAATCGAGGCCATGATCGAACAACAACTCGATCATCATCATTAGAAGCATCAACAGGATTATTACCCTGACAAAATTTGGCATAGGCAAGTAGAAGAAATATTATGGAGAATATAATGGAGAGGATTCCGATAACAACAGTGATGCTGGGATGGAGAGGATGAAGGAAAGCATCGGATCCCGATTTTTCTTGAGCTCTGACATGGAAGAATAAGGAAAAAAAGAGGATGAGAAGGCCTGATTCCTTCATGGGGAGATGAAGAATCTCTGCTATCCTCTGTTAATTTTTCTCAATGGAGCATTTTCTTTTCAGTCAAAGCTACCTATGAACTCTGCTTGTTTTGTTTATGCTGTCTCTATCTGTTCAGCAATTTTAAATTTCAGGTCCATTGTTGATAAGTTAACTAAAACAGCAACCTTGTCCTATATAGCTGGCTGAGTCTTGATTCTTCGGGGTTCTATTTGTTCCATAATCGTTGTCCTCCAAGTCAAAATAAATTGTTTTCCATAGAAAGTCTTGTATTGATTTCTCTACACTCAATAATTAGGCTTTGCAGGCCTATTCTTGTTCATATTCCCTTCAAGTCCTGTTTTTTCTTCTTAAGAAAGCTTCTCCTGTCTCACACGTGAGGTGCTGTAGCTTTCAAATCTCTTTCACGGAAAGATCCAAGCTTCATTTAGGCATTTTATTTGGTCGAATTAAAATAAAAAAAATATATAATATAATTATAATATCACGTGACATTATAATGTGATCCTAAACTTACACTCCGTAACATTACAATAATGGCATCACCAACAAAAATGAACAACCCATTTGAACATGTGAAGGAAATCATCCATTGAATCGTATCTTTTTAGATTTTCTCAATATTACAAGTCTAACTCAATTCACACCCTGCTGCATAACAGAAGCAAGTCTGCAAAAGCGCAGCTTTCTTCCTGCATTTTCCAGTTTGATTACAATTGCAAGATGGGATAAATTTTGGGGAAATATCAATATGATCCTTTCGAAATTTGCGGCTGGACATGCATAAAAGCACAGAAGAAACTTTAGTCTTTGGTTCTTCAAAGTACAGCTTTGCAAGTCCTCCATACTTTGCCATGCCTGAAGTAGAACTTGCAATGGAATCGACAACTTGAGTGTAGCCATATTTATTCTTAACACATGAATAGGCTCCATTAACCATAGGAAAGTCCATGGAGAAGTTGTTTCCCATCAGATTTCTCTCCTTGACCCAGTTTGCATGTTTAGTCTCCACTCGTATGCCTGAGTAAATATTACTTTATCGTCTTCCCTGTCCTTGGCATCATCACTTCCTTCATCTATTTCTACATGCCTAAATTTTCTTGAAAACCACTCAAATTTATTCAAACCCCCATCAGGTCCTGGTATGATAGACTCAAGAGCCCTGCAGCCCCTAACTACATCCTGTTATGCTTCATTTTCAGTTAATCCCATTTCAAAATTAAAGGGTAAAAATGCATAAGAGGAATCTACTTTTAAGTTTACCTCATCACCGTCCTCAAAACAATTGATAAGATAAAGTGTGCAATTTGGTTCAACATCAAACCATCTAATTGAATCTGCATCACCATACCGAGGCATTACACTAATCCTCGCATATCCTTCTTTCTGGTATTTAATTAATCTATGAATAAACCCAGTTAGTGATCAAGAAACTCATATGCTGAAAGTTCTTTAGAATTGAAGGCAGAACAAATACTCACGGGCCATCCAGGATAAGTTTGATTGTGTCTATGCATAGGGGCAGTCCATGAACACATCATACCTACAAAGAAAAAATTACATGAGTTTCTGAATTAATGAAGGGGCTGAAACTTCTAAACAATGGTAAGTTGACCTCTGTGTAACTCCAATTTCATGTGAAAGGGAGCATCTGTTGAGTTTGAGATCCACCTTATGGACTAATTTCTGTCCATCAGCTGAAGAAAAAGGCATAGACTTCAGACATTAGCAATCTGCCTTGCCGTAATGTGCATATATCAAATCTTGGATTAATAGAGATGATATAGACCAGAAACTACTCCTACTTCAACAAAAGGTTTTGTTGCATTAATCCCCAATATTATAACTAGCTCCCCACTTCCTGGAGCTCTCTGTGAAATATTAGAAACAAGTTTAGGCAAGTTTGTCAGATAACATAACAAGAAAGTTCAAGTATTTATAGAATAGCTTTTTGTATAGATGTGAAGAAGAAGCCTTTGGATGTGCAGTAACTGGTCTGTTCCAAGCTCCATTGACATCCCAATTACCTAAAGTTTCTAGTGTAAATATATTCATCTCCTGAAGAATATGATTTTCTGCAACTGAGTAGAACTTCACTGAATGCTTGAAAATGCTGGTGTTGCTTATGTATTTGTCTACCTTACCAAATTGCTACTGAGGAATTGTAAGGAAAATGAAACAAGATGTTATATCTTAAGCTCATTCATTTTTCACATTTCATGACCTAGACAGAAGTAGATATATTTATTTCTTGTGGGATAAGAAAGCATACCACATTAAGTACATATGCAGACAGAATAGATAGTGAATCCCCTTCAATGGTAGGAAGAAAAGATGGTTTTTTTAGTTGTTTTTCTAGCTTGAATGTTTCTGTTTCAACATGCCTGTTGTTGTAGACAACAGTCCAATTCCCATCAATGCCTTTCCTAAAATACAAAGCATGAAGCATGCCCTCTCCTTCCACCCAGATATGACTTGACCTCCCAAACAGAGACATTGTTGATTTCAACCCTCCGAAAAGAGGTTTTGGTCCTGCAACAACATAGGCAACCTACAACCTTAGCAAATCAAATTAACTCCACCATTCGTGTTTTTACGTAAGTTAGTTCCTTAGCATTTCAAAGGTTCACACCTCTAATCTCACCCCTAGATCAAAGGTTCTATTATTATTAGCTACCAACTCAGCTAAACTCTTGCCACTAACCCCAAAATTCATCATTTAATCAAATAAATTATATTTTTATGTGACAGATCTACATATGAACCACTAGATATAAAACTGAAAGTGGGATCAGAGCCCCACTTTCCAAATTGATGACACTACAATTTGTTTCTGGCATTTGGAGTGTTATGAGAGGCATCTAGTGAGGTAAAAAACAAACCGTTTCTTATGTAAACACCCTCTGGGAAATCATCTGGGATTCTGCCTTCAGTGGCAGTGATACGGATAACAACAGCTTCTTCCGGTTCATCTACTGGGGCAGAGTTGCTCTGTAGTAATAACAAGAAGTGTTGAAGACTTGAATTTTAACTAGATACTTAGCAAAATGGAACTATATTTTGCTTTAGTTGGAGTAGGTGAAAATCATATAATTGTAATTTATCTTTTCTTGTAATATGATATGTACAAGATCTTTTGTTAAGTTGTTCACCTACTATCAATGTACAGAATATATATGCAATAAAAGGAGAAGACCGAAGCATGTATGGTCTTCATGTTCCCTCTTTATGTTTATTTTCTGTTTTTTTTCTCTGTTTCTGCTCTCTGCTTGTTTTTCACCTTCTGTTCCTTGCTTCTGAACTCCAACAAGAAGCAATCAACTCTGAAGAAATTAATTTCACAAGTAAAAATTAATGCCCTACTTATTTGGGGCT